AGTCGGAAAGGGGGACTCGTAAGAAACAGACGTAAATTCGGAAACCGGGAGGTGATAGAAACAGATGTAAATTCGGAAACTGGAGTCGTTAGAATTAGCAGCAAAAAGTTATACACCGGGCTCAGAAACAGTTAAACATAAAAGTTACTGACATTGAAACTGTATCAAAAGTGATTAAACAAGTGTTCAATATAATTCGTCCAAAATTGAGATGTGCTTGTGATTAGTGGTGTTAATTTATTCCTTTCGGAGTTGTGGCCCGTTCAAGGCTCTGAGATAAGAGGTACTCAGCTCTACCAAAACAACAAAACCCCCTTCTTTTAAATTAACCCTGAGATATTTAGCAACAAGAAAGAAGAACCTACTAGTGGCAATCCAGCGTGTGAGTGAGAAAGAAGGAAGAAGGTAGCAAGAAGGAGGTGGAGAAAAGGGCGGTAAGAGAGAGGTGGCGCCCAAAGTGTGAGCACCAAGCAAGGAGGAGGAGAAAAGGGCGGTAAGACTTTCATTTGGTTCAAATCCTGTAACCACTGCAATTTAGCTTGCTTCCTTTGATCTAAAATGACTTTTAACATTCTTAAACAAATTATAGTTTATACTACTTTATTTCATAAGCACCTAAATTCTCTTTGGTGAAATTTTTATAGTCTCTCTCTAAGTTTTAATCAGATACTTTTCTTTAACTTTCACATTATTAAGTTTCTTGAGTTTGAATATCACCTTAGAGAGATAGGATGGGGTGGTATGGACTGGATTGATCTAGCTCAGAATAGGGCTCTTGTGAACATAGTAACAAACCTTTTGGTTCCATAAAATTTGGGGAAATTCTTGAGTAGGTGCACAACTGGTAGCTTCTCAAGAAGGGCTCATCCCTGTGGTGTTAGTGACATTGAATATCCACATATTAAACTTCTGTGTTGCTCATTTACTTACTGACAATCTCTCATCTCTTTAGGTTTTGCAACAACTGGAAGATGATGAGTATCAAATTCAGATCTTCTGAAAGACTGGCTATCAAGCATAAATGAGTGCCATCTCCTATCTGTTAAGATGTGATCAATCTGAATGTATGTCTTTCACATCAGAAGAAGTTCAAGTGTGTTTATATATGTTACAATGTGTGAACATTGGACTCTTGACATAATCGTAAATCTTTGGATATGACAAAATTTATTAGACTACATTATCCTTTTCAATTTCATGCAGGAACTAAACATGAAATCGTACTATTCAGCTGCATTCAGAAACTCTACAAGTGCTGCACAAAGCTTCTTGCCAGCTTCTACTAGTGTGTCCTTGCTGTGAAAGGCAATTGCAAGTCTCAGATAGTTTCTGCAGCCTCCAGTCAGAGAGAACTTGCTACCAGGAATTGCTGAGAGTTTGTACTTTTTTTGGCACCATGGAACGAACACATTCATGTCTGCATACTCTGGAAGAGTGATCCACACAAAGTAACCTCCTCCTGGCCTATGGTATGAGCAGCTGGGAGGAAGAAACTTGTCCAGAGTGGCACACAATGCAGCCATCCGTTCCTGAAAAATTGTACCATAGAGACTGAAGATGACAAAAACCGATCGGAGGGGAATGCCCTAAGATCTAAGACTGGAGTTAACAAATAATTTGACATAGAATTAATTATAATTATGTAGGTTATCATGTAGTTTGTAGTACAGAACTAGATGGTAACATAAAATTACAGGTTCCAAAAATATGCAGAACAGTAAGGAACATAACCTGGGAAAGTATGAAGGAAACTGCTTAAATTCTATAGAGTCATTGAAGTACAACGCTAATGTGTTGATCAGAACTCTCTATTTCAAGAAAATACACAAAAATAAAGAGGAAAGAACAGAAGCTGCCAAAATGAATTATCTGAGAACAGTAGCTGGACACTGCTTGATCACAACTGCAGTACAAATACAAGTGTATGAAAGGAACAGAAAGCAATCCCATGCAGAGGAGGGGATCAAATACCTCCACCATAGCCCTGCAAGTTGTAGAAGGTGACGAAAAGGGAACCCAGTGCCTGGGGGATATAAATATCTGAACCTGGCCCACCAGGTTGGGGGAGTTTCGAATCTGAGACAGTAAAATGTGGTCATTGAGTCCTGCATGACTCAGACCTGAGAATGACTGTCCTGGTGAGGGCCAGCAGCAATTGTAAATGACAGATGGACTCATTCTCTCACCAGAGAGGATGTTACATAAGGACTATAACCACAAGTGTTCAGTTGGAGAAAATTACTGGTCGTGGGTCTCAAGGGGCTTGGCACCAAGACGAACTGATTGGCTGTAAACCGCCAGTCATAGAGTAACTCTGACTCTGAACTAAAGCAGCTGACACTAATAAAATAAGAAAAGGATATCAAAATAGCTTTTAAAAATGCAAGGTTACCCCAGCATTGTTAATAACTGCCCATAACAATGACATGCAAGATTTGTTTCAAGCAGTTAGGTCTGTATAACAGCAGAGATTGATGTAGACCATAAAGTGAAGAAAGACAGATCTCATTCTGATATCTCACTTTAAACCCTAAATTAAAAGGGGAAGGAAAATTATATATAGTTACCTTTATCAGAATTATTTCACTGTCATTGTATCAACAAACTATCAATTGCAGTTCAGGTCTCTAATGATAAAATATTTTGTTACAGCCTTTCACCATTCCACTGCTAATGAGAAACCCATGGCACACATGTTTCACACTGTATAAGTATACTGCTGTTAGTGAAAATGGGTAAACTGTTCATTTATTGTGATATTTTATTTAACTCTTTCTAGATACAATGTTAGGTACTTGGTAATTTGAAGTACCTGTTCTAAAGAACAATATAATTTCATCCCCATAATTAGGCAGAAAAATCCTAATACAAGGTATGTGGAATGATAAATTTAAATTAGCACTGTATGAATAAGACCTACTGGACTTGTGTGTAAACCAAGACAGAATTTTATAAAACTAAGAAGACTGATTGATTCTTATGTTATTTAATGAAGTTTTAACTAGAGAGGTTATATTTTGTTAAACAAGATAAGGTGGTGTTCATGAATGGTGAACAGGTAAAGATTTTAAAGGAAACTGCTGTGGCCTCTTTCAATGTGCCTTCCTAGAGTTAGCTTGAAGAAACTGAAAAAAGGAAACATAAAATATCTCAGTCAGGATAGTCTTCAGCCTGGAAGAAAATAATATGAATCTTATAGCAATGTGGGATCTCCAAATTGAGACCAGTCAAGTCATATGATGATGATAGCATCTAATTAACAGCCATGTGAATCAGTATTACCTTAAAAGTCTTTACCAGAATATCCAACAGCCTTTCCTCCAAACCCAATTCAAGCAAGCTGGTTATAAGACCTGCCATGTACTGGTTGACACCTCCACCACTCCTAAGATATCCCCTACAACAAATTTTGAAAATATTATGGATTCCATACCCCAGTAAGTGAGATTTCTTTTCAAATTATTTGCAGATGCATATATCTAGTAACAGTTGATCTACAACACATTACCAAATTCATTATAATTACATCTCCTTCATTTGATTCCAAAATGGTAAGAATCTTATAAGTTTTGTCAAATGTAAAATTCCTGAATTTCTTTCTCAACATCATAGTCAAGCTAGAAGGATGATTTTGAAGACAAATTTACAGCTGATAAAGTAAACCAGGGACAAAGCTGCATCATGTATCTAGATCATCCTAAATACTATGAAACTTCTGGCACTAAATAGTTTCAGTTTTAAATTCTTTCTTTTCTGGTACTTTCAGTTCACTGGGAAATTCCCATATGGAGCTCAAGGCCAACTTCTCATTTCTGTCCGATGAGCTGAGGTCACAAAGTACTTGAACTTTTAACTTCCAAATTCTTCATGGCAAGGTGTTTTTGCAGGTGTTGTAAGATTTATACTTAAAATTAATTTTAAGCCTTTAAGTAAAATTTGCCATTTTTTTTTGGTCTAGAAGTAAACACAGGGAAAACTAAGTATATGTTACTGTCTCATCACCAAAATGCAAGGCAAAATCATGACATAAAGATAGGAAATAGATGTTTTGAAAATGTGGCATAGTTCAGATATTTGGGAACAATGATAACAGATCGAAACCTGATTCAGGAAGAAATTAAGAGGCGATTGAACTCGGGTAATGCTTGCTACCATTCAGTCCAGAACCTTTTGTCTTCTTGTCTGTTGTCCAAAAACATAAACATTAGAATATACAAAACTATAATTTTGCCTCTTCTGCATGGGTGTGGAACTTTGTCTCTGAGATTAAGGGAGGAACATAGACTGAGGGTGTTTGAGAATATGGTGTTCAGGAGAATATATGGACTGAAGAGAGATGAAGTGACAGGAGGTTGGAGAAGACTGCATAATGAGGAGCTTCATAACTTGTACTCTTATCCAAGTATAATTAGAATGATCAAGTCAAGGAGGATGATGTGGGCAGGGCATGTAGCATGAATGGGGGAGACGGTGAATGCGTGTAGGATATTGGTGGGAAAGCCAGAAGGAAAGAGACCACAGAGAAGACCAAGGCATAGTTGGGTGGACAATATTAGAATGGATCTTAGAGAGATAGATGGGATGGTATGGATTGGATGGATCTGGCTCTGGATAGGGACCAGTGGAGGGCTCTTGTGAACACGGTGATGAACCTTTGGGTTCCATAATATGCTGGGAAATTCTTGAGTAGCCGCAGAATTGGCGGCTCCTCCAGAAGGGCTCAGCTCCATGAGTAAGTAAGTAAAATTTGCCAGCAGAGACCAGCACTGTCATTAGAACGGGATTTTCTAAAAGTTTCCACAACCAGTTTCATTAAAATGAATTTACTGTCACCATGTGTCTTTAACTTTGAAGGTCATGGCAAAGTATCAGCTCTTCTATTCTCATTCAAGAATATTGCTGATTACCAGAATTCAGTTCCTCGGCACAATAATTTGGTGAGCATCAAATTCACTTTCATGTTGATTTGACAAAGTGAATTTTTAAACTGCTGAGTTACTTTAGGTATCCAGCTTGTCAGATATTTAGAAAAATCTGTATGAAAATCAATTTTAATGGGTTAAATTTGGATAAATTTCCAGAATTTGGACTATGAAATGCTGGCTAATTCACATGTGCACTATGCACACATTCTCACAGGAATTCAATAATTTTAATTAAGAAGCAGGAGTACTCTCAAATCAACAAGTAAAGCTTTTTGTAATTTTAAGTGAAAATCTAGTCGTTAACCACAAGCAGAATCTCATAATAAATAAAGGCACTTAGGGAACATCCATCACTTTCTTGAGGACATGCTGATCAAAGAGCAGGGCTGTCATATAATTAGAATACCCATGCTTGGGTTACACAGTGAAACTATAGCTCATTTTTAAAGTAACAAACCACTCCCTTTTTGTCCCTCACTTCCATTTCTGCATTTACCGAAACAAATGAATATTGATGGTTATAATTTGGCCAGTACTGATAGTTCAACACTGTCTCTACAGGCAATAACCAAAGTGGTGCCCCACTGTGGTTCATTTATATAATTTGGTTGTATGTGGATCTGCAAATACATAGATGACAATATTAATTGTATGATCTGTTTTACCTATATGAGAAAGTTGAGGGATCTATGAAGGTTGATTTTCTTAATGTTCTGAAACTTTCAATGGACAGTTTTACATACTCTACCTCTATATTACTTGTATATAAACCTAAATGTAAAATAGACCAAGGAAGCTCTGGATGGGCTCGGAGACTTCAAATTAGGAGGACAAATTATTCAAACTGTGAAATATGCAGATGACCTTGTGTTAATGGCTAAGGAAGAAACTGTGCTGCAGGGCATGATTGATAGACTAATTGAAATTGGAAGGTGCTATGGCATGGAAATGAATGTGGAGAAAACAAAAGTAATGAAAATTTCGAGACAACCAACCCCAGTCACAATAAAGATAGACCAAAAACAACTGGAGAATGTGAAATGTTTTAAATATTTTGGTAGCTTGTTAACAGATGATGGAAGGTGTACTTGTGAAATTAAATCCAGGATTGCCATGGCAAAAGCTGCATTTAGCAAGAAGAAGAATCTTTTTACCAGCAAATTGGACTTAAATTTGAGGAAGAAACTAGTGAAATGCTACATTTGGAGCATAGCTCTGTATGGGGCTGAAACATGGACACTTAGGGCAGCAGATCAGAAATATCTGGAAAGTTTTGAAATGTGGTGTTGGAGAAGGATGGAGAAGATCAGTTGGACCGATTATGTGAGAAATGAAGAGGTGTTAATTAGAGTCAGTGAGCAGAGGAATATCCTACATGAAATAAGAAAACAGAAGGCCAATTGGATTGGTCATGTTTTACGCAGAAACTGCCTTCTAAAAGAAGTTATTGAAGGAAAGATAGAGGGGCGGATAGAAGTGATAAGAAGACATAAGAAGATGCTGGATGACCTTGGGGACAGAAGAGGATACTGTCATTTGAAGGAGAAAGCTGTAGATCGCATTAAATGGAGGAATTGTTTTGGAAGAGACTGTGGACCTGTCGTCTGACAGATTACTGATGATGATGATGATGATGATGATGATGATGATGATGTAAAATAGACATTACATAGAACTTCTAAATTTAATACTACACCACTTACGAAGCACGAAAGGTATTTATAAGTCTTGCAGGTGCCTCCAGCCAGCCGACTCTTACACCAGGCGCCATAATTTTGGAGAAGGAACAGTTGGAAATAACATGCCCACCTGCATAGCCCTCTAGAGTTGCATCATAAGCAAAAAGTCTCTTGGGTGGATGCACAGCATTTCCATAGTGCAGAAGAACATACACATCATCGCACACCACAAGAAAATCCAAACTGCGGGCAGCCCTCACCAATGCCTCACAACGTTCTGAAATATTTAAGTACATCTGAGCACAAGAAATTCATAACATTTATTGAAATACATTTTTCTCGTAGGGCTCAGAATTTTGGTTTTCTACAATAAATATGTAACACTGAATATTATATACATATACTTAGAATCATCATATTCTCAAATTCACAGATCAGAGCCATCTGTTGAAATATTCTGGCCTGTCATCTAATAATCTCTTTCAGTGTCATCCTCAATTTCCTGTTATATGAGATATATCGGAAAGTTCCCGGACTAGGTCAAAAAAGAAATGCTGGCTTAACTTACTCAATTTTGGCTCCATCTCCTTCAAAATACACCCCTTGGGAATGTATACAGCAACCCCATCGTTTTTTCCATACATCAAAAGCACTATGGAAGTCATTTTTCTTAATGTTGTTGAGAACCACTTGTGATTCCCTCTGGATGTCAGACACTATTTCAAAACATCATCCCTTCAGTTTCATTTTCAATTTGGGAAACAAAGTGAAATCACAGGGGGCTAAGTCTGGCGAATAGGGAGGATGTGGAATGATAACCATGTTGCCGTTAGCCATAAAATCTGTGGTTTTCAGGGATGTGTGGGCAGGCATATTGTCGTGATGAACGAGCAATGCAGCTCATGTTCACATCTTAATCTGCTGGCAAACTCCATAACTGATCACAACGGTATATGTTTGCTATTGGATTGTTCAGTGATGGTCTTTGTTGATGAGTTCTCAAACTTTCTGATACCACCTCAGAGTTGGTCTTTACATCATCGTTAGTTTTGGACGCCCGTGTCTCTGAATACTGTCAACATTTCTTTCTATGCACAGAACTTTGCAGATTCAATGTGTAGACCATCCAAAATGTCTTGATTTGTTTCATTCTGGTCCGTCACAATAACAATTACAAATCACTCCATCCAATGTGACCTGTAAGTTCTTACTACATAAAAACTTAACACCCTTACATGTTTTGGTCTCTGTGGACCATCTTCAGAGGGCAAACATCACTACTAATAGGAAACCACCATCACATAATTTGTTTACACGTAAAGTACGTACACTTATATGTTACAGTACATAGTACACAGAATAGAACATTTCACAAACACAGCAGTTTCCTGGGAATGTAAGTTTTAAAAAATTGTATAAAATTCCTTGATGCTAATTAAAAGTTTTTTAGATTGTCAATAATTAAAATTCGTAAACCATGCAGGCTCGTGTTCGTCCTCCCATCGTCTCTCTTATATGGGGCAGATATTGTGCCACCTGGCTATCCTGTTGTGGAGGTTCTTTATATCATCCAGGGTTTGCTCGTGGCTGCTGTGCTGTTTTCAGTGAAAACAAACCCTGGACGATATAAAGAACCTCCACATCAGGATAGCCAGGTGGCACAATATCTGCCCCATATAAGAGAGACGATGGGAGGATGAACACGAGCCTGCATGGTTTACGAATTTTAATTACTGACAATCTAAAAAACTTTTAATTAGCATCAAGGAATTTTATACAATTTTTTAAAACTTACATTCCCAGGAAACTGCTGTGTTTGTGAAATGTTCTATTCTGCGTACTGTGTGCTGTAACATATAAGTGTACGTACTTTACGTGTAAACAAATTATGTGATAGTGGTTTCCTATTTGTAGTGATGTTTGCCCTCTGAAGATGGTCCACAGAGACCGAAACATGTAAGGGTGTTAAGTTTTTATGTAGTAAAAAACTTACAGGTCACATTGGACGGAGTGATTTATAATTTGAAAATGTCTTGGTTTCTTTAGTAGTGTTTTCATGTATATTTTATGGTCCATCTCATGAATTTCAACTCAGCAGCCTTGATTCTGAATTGGTCTTCAACTTTTTTTCCCCAGGCATAACAGCCACAGAGGAGAGTTACGAGAGCTAAAATGCTGTAGATTTTGTACCTGCAGATCTCTGAACTTTTCATAGCTTAAATACATTGCTTCCCAGGCCTGTAATTTACATAAATTATAATTTTATTATCTATGTCTGTCTCCTTCAGATAATAAATGAACATAATCGCATGGTAATTCGACATACTCATACTGTGAGTTCATTTCATTGAACTAAAATTAATACTAAAGTGTAAAGACTGAAATTATTATGCCGAACTAGTGTAATGCTCAGTTTTACCTATCACTTACTTTTTGGCAGTGTTATCCCAGTTGGGTTGTGAAATATTGGAATTGTGTAAAACACTGCCCAGAATGGTTTTTCCTCAGTCACATTCCAAGACCCTTTGGATTTCTCTTCCCTTACAATGTTTTCCATAGCTGCTATGTCAACCCCTTCTGAATCTATGGGAACTGAAACATGAATCACATTATCATTTTAGATTAGAAGGAGATTAGAAGGCTGCACACAGACTAGGATATATGTAACTTACCTTGATGTTAGGCTGTGCCATAGCTCAAGCAGTTTGTTGCAGCCCGGGTTCGATCCCAGGTCTGGTCAAGTGGGATTTGTGATGGACAAAGTGGCGCTGGGGCAGGTTTTCTCTGAGTACTTCGGTTTCCCCTGCCAATGTTCATTCCACCAATTACTCCACAATCACCCTCACCTATCATCTGGGGCTGGTACAATAGGCCAGACGTGGCTGCATTACAAGAGATTTAGTCCTACCCCACTAGCGATAAAAAAAGCAGTAATACCTTGATGTTTATAACAACAAAGTCTTTTACATGTGACTTGATGGTTACAATGTTGAGGAATGCTTATGGAAACCATCAACATATTATAAAGCTGGATTAAGTTAGAGATCCACACTGCAGATGGCGCCTTGAAGAAAACTGTTAAATTATATGGCAACAGCCTATATGATGATTCTCTTGATTAAAACTCTCATGTCAGTCTGCCATTTGTCTGATTGTCACTTTCTGTATTCATTTCAAAATCAAAGTTCCTATTCACAGAATTTCGGTAACTTCACAACTTTTCATACAATGCAGAGTAAGATCTTCTGGGCTGTAGCACCATACAGTTCAGATACAGCCCAATGTCTCAGAGGAACATACTGCTTCCATCATCAGGGTCAAAGAGAAAGCCAATCAAGAACATAGAAGCAGGCAGGAGATGTGCCCAGCTTGCTGCCTCCTGCTACTATAAAGTAGATGACGAGATTAATTTGAAAACTTCTGAATGCTGGAGCAGGTTTGTAAACACCAAATTCTTAAGTTAGAATGATAAGGAGGAGGAGCAGAAAAGGAAGAGAGGGGAAGGAAACAGGAGGAGAAGGTAATGGTAATGACCTGTCAAGTACAAAGCATGCAGGCAAAAATGACCTCCCCATTATGTGTTCACTTACCACAACAAATGCAAATTATCGGGAAAAGGTTTGGCCATCATTGCAACAATATTCAATTAAATAAACCAAGGTAACTCTTAACAACTGTTTTTTTTTCAATGGCTACTACATGTTTCAGTCCTCATGGGACCATCATCAGAAATACTGTATGTAATCTGTGTCTGGATAACCGGCAGAAGCAACGGTATTTTCACACCATTTGACTGAAGTGATCAAGACACATACTTGAAGGAAATGCTTCGTGGTAATTTTATTTTCAGATCTTATACCTACAGGGTCTATGAAAAACTGTTCGGAAACTAACCTGTAACCATTTTCATACCACTGAACTGCTTGAGTGCATCCAGGGCAATCATATAACTAGCTTCTTCAACAAAAATAACACCATTTGGTTGAACAATCGTGGTTAAGATCATCTGCAAGCCATGAGTTGCTCCACATGTTAGGATAAGGTTCTGTCTGCAAACAAATGTATACAGAGATTTGCAGATAAAGATCCTTTTCTTTTAACATCTAGTGATCTATTAATATGAAATAACTTTGTCAGTTCCTTTGCATACTCATATTGTAAGCCTTCACTAAAATGTATGTAAAGAACTGAAAGAACCAATTTAATATAGTGTGAACTGTTCCTTAAATATGCAGGCTATTTGGAAAGTAACCTCCGGTGATCTGCTAACGAAACATGAAATTGGGAAGAAAATTATTATATATAAAAGATAAGTATACATACTTAAGCTACTTCTCAAAATAGTCACTGCTGGAATTAAGGCACCTGTTGCATTGAGGAATAAGTTTCTGTATGCCTCTGTCCAAGAAGTCTGCCACCTGTGAGCTGCCACATTTTATACTGCAAGATACTAAAATAACTGCACAGGGCCATTCAGAACAAAGAGCGTGGAATGCTGACATATGGTTTAGTGCTCCTCCATGACAATGCATGCCCACATACACCTGCTTGCGCTCAATCACTGTTGGAGGATTTCAACTGGGAGTTGTTTGACCAACCTCCTTAATGGCTTGATCTCGCTCCAAGCAACTACCACCTGTTTACATACATGAAAAACTGGTTGTGATCATAATGCTTCGACAATAATGAGGAGTTGATGGAAGGTGTCAAAACGTGGCTGAGTTCACAGGTGGCAGACTTTGACACAGGCATACAAAAGCTTACTTCACAATATGACAAGAGCCCCAGTTCCAGCAGTGACTTTGTTGAGAAGTAGCTTAAGTATATATTTTTTGTATAATAATTTTTTCTCACTGCTTGTTTTGTTAACATTTCACTGAAGGTCACTTTCCAAATAGCCCTCATACGTGCAAGAAAATAACTAAACAAGTTTTGTAAAACACGAGCCATTCTTTATATAAATGCAATAAACTGAATGAACCCAAAATAGTGAATTGACCTGTATGAGATATCTGTCTGTCATTAATAAGAATTCATATGGGTGACATATATGTAACCCATAAGCACCTCAATGCTGATAATTTTCTATAGATATAGCAAGGAACATTCATGTGCCACACTGGAATATAAATAAAAACAGAATGCTCGCTAGACCAAGGTCAAGTAACATAGGCATCATGTCATAGTCTAATAGAAGTTCAATAACCAAGATTCATAACCCATGTATGAAACTACAAGAAATAGCCCCCTTATGACTGACTATAGGCAGGCATGAGCCAACTTTGCTTACCTGTTTTTGGGAACATAAAGGTGAACTTAATTAATAAGAACACAAGAAATGCGTCTATTTATGACATTCTGTGCACATAATACTTCTTTAACAATGGCTTTTTCTCCGACAGCACATTGTACTGACACATTTCTTTCACAAACCATGAAAAATAGAAGTTTGTTATGAAAACTTTCCCATAGTACATTAACCTTTTATTATATCAGTTTTCAGTGTTCATTTTTATGAAAAGAATATTTCATTTTTGGTAATTCAAAGTTATATTATTTTTGTTGAAAATACTGAAAAGAATCACATCCCAGCTTCCTCACATATGAGTACCAGCACCTCTCTTTTCTTGGTGTTTATAGCACATGCAGTTTGGAATCATAAGTATTTTAAATGTCCTAAAATAATTTTTGTTCTCAAACTGCTGCTATAATAGCAGCTACATGAAATGAAGCTGATTTATGCCTTACACAAACTTGTTTAGAATATTTGTGGCAATATATTTTTATATACCTGTGTACTTTGTCACCATACTTTGCACTAAGGAACTTGGCCAGCTCCTCCCTGAACTCCCAGAGACCTGATGTTATGCCATACTGGAACAAGTATGCATGTTCTTCTTCCTTCTTCTGTAACAAAAGTTAATCATCTGTTGTAGGTCACTGGAAGATTGTTGGATGTGGTACATACTGAAGATGAAGGACAATGTGCATATATAATTTGAAAGGAAAATACAATAAATATGTAATTATTATGGAGAGAAGCATCTAAGAATGAAAAATGAACTGTGACGGCTAAGTCACAAACGCGACTGTCTACCCTCTGGATGGCATTTGTCCAAATCTCAGTATACTCATTATTACATCCATACATGTAGCCTTACCTTCATATATATTTAAAATTAAAGATGTAAAGCATAATGAGATCTGTATTTTAGTTACGTGCCAAATTTCTTATGTCGTGAGCTTCATTAAAGCAGAGGTTACATTCAATCAATGTGCATCAACCTGAAATTCTTCTGACAATAATTAGTGTAGATCTGCAGTTCCAAATTTAGTTGAAATTGACTGAGTGATTTCAGAAATGAAACATGTAGATTGACACATGTACGGACATAATGACCTTCTCGTTTTTCTTTCATTTCATGCACTTAATGCAAAGAAAATGAAAAGGGAGGGTCACAAACATTTTTTCAATCCAAAACTGCTGCATAAAATTCATGTAACGTTTGAAGTAACTTTAAAAATGTTACGTTACATCATTCTGGAATACCTTTTAAGCAGATTGACATATTCTATGATGTAATGAGAATTTGAAGCAAGTAAATTCATATAGGAAAGACACATTTAAGCAGTCGAGTTTTCACTTACATAAAATTATGATATAGTTCTCATAAACAGTTCATCATATGGACAGCAGTTACCTTTATGTTATTAGAAACAATTCCTTATTTTTTGTATATTTAATGAGATACGGCAGTTTATTTGGTCTTTCAGTTTCTGCTTTCAATTGAATCTGACAAATTTTAAAACCAAATAGAATAGATCTGACCTAGCAAAGTGTCATTTATCAAAATATTTCGACCCCGCAGAACTATGTCGCCAGCAAATTATACAGACCTATATCCATATTGACATATATTAGTAAGATTTTTGAAAAGGTAATGCATAGTAGTTTGTTAAAACATTTGAATGATAATAGTATATTAAATAAATACCAATTTGGATTTAGAGAAAAGCAAGGGACTGAAAATGCAATTTATAGACTTATCTCCGGAATACTAGACTCTTTAAATAAAAAAAGGCAAGTCTCTGGGATCTTCTGTGACCTAGAAAAGGCTTTCGATTGTGTTAGCCATGATATATTGTTGGATAAATTGAGGTATTGTGGAATAAAAGACAAATAATACGACCTATATACGTCATATCTTTTGGATATAAAACAGAGAACTGCTATTTCCAATGGGACAAGCAGTAATAAAGTATACTCACAATGGGTTAAAGTAACTAATGGTGTCCCGCAAGGGTCGATACTAGGACCACTGTTGTTTATAATATATATATAAATGACTTGCGCAAGATTCTAGAAACTAAGAGTATTCCAATTCTATTTGCTGATGATGCCAGTTTCTTCTCTCTCAAGACAATCCAATAAAACTTAAAAATACAATAAATGAAGTATATAGAATAACGGAGGACTGGTTTAAACAAAATTTAATGTCATTGAACTTATTGAAAACATATTATATAAACTTCACTGTAAAACATAATTTAGATAGAGAAATGGGAGGCACAGGAACGATTTTATTAAACACAAATTACATTAAATTTCTTGGCCTGACTATCCAAAATAATATAACTTGGGATAGACATATAGATGAGATAATAAAGAAATTAAACACAGCTTGTTATATGATAAGAAATGTAAAACCAGTGGTGTCTGTAAAAACATTAAAAAGTATTTATTATGCATACTTCCATTCTATTATGACATATGGAGTAATGTTTTGGGGTAACTCAACACAAGCTGAAAGAGTTTTTAAGATACAAAAGAGTATATATGAGACAAACTCCGTCTTAAGTGCAACAATTTAATTGTAGTTCTTTCTTCTTCCCTTCTTCCACACTACATGTTTTGGCCCTATATGGCCATCATCAGGTGTGTATTCTTACGTAGCTGCTACACTGCCCGTTGTTTAAAATTTAAAATCACCAGTCTTTCCAATTGTATGTATGTATAAAATCTTTGTTAACCTACAAGCGTGAATTTGATTTCTAAAATTGGCACCTTTTTAAAACTTCAATTCAAATTAAAATGTCTACAAATTTTCTGTATAACAGAAACATAACATAACATAAGATAGTAATACGAATATTTGTATATTACAGACAATACCTGAACAGCGATAAAACAAGAAGTGGCCGCTGCAGCACCATAGACATAGGGCATGTACCCCGAGAAAATTTTAATTTTTAAAAATTTGGAAAAAGAAAAAGAACAGAAAATTTGTAGACATTTTAATTTGAATTGAAGTTTTAAAAAAGTGCCAATTTTAGAAATCAAATTCACGCGTGTAGGTTAACAAAGATTTTATACATACATACAATTGGAAAGACTGGTGATTTTAAATTTTAAACTATGGGCAGTGTAGCAGCTACGTAAAAATACACACCTGATGATGGCCATATAGGGCCGAAACATGTAGTGTGGAGGAAGGGAAGAAGAAAGAACTACAATTAAATTGTTGCACTTAAGACAGAGTTTGTCTCATATATATTGTGTGAGTGTAACAGGATGCTTAAGTATAATATTGTAATACAAAAGAGAGTTATAAGAATAATAAATGGATGTGGTTTCAGAGAGTCATGCAGAGAACTGTTTAAGAATATGAATATAATCCCCTTAAGAACACAGTATATATACTCTCTTCTGATGTTTGTAGTAAAAAACGAAAAAAATATTTGATACAAATAGGGATTGCTATGATATAAACACTAGACATAATATGGACATACATATGAGCCAGGTAAATTTGGCGAAATATGGTAATGGGGTAACTCACATGGCCGTAAGGATTTACAATGCACTACCTAATAAAATTAAAGTAACTTCTAATGATATAAATAAGTTCAAAAACAATTTAAAGGAATTTCTTTATTTAAATTCTTTTTATACACTTGAAGAATATTTTAAGAGGTAATGATTTTTACAACTATATAAGTGTATAAGATGTTGAGTAATACAATAAATTAATAATCATCATGAATATGAGATAATCATACTTATAATTGAATGTTTTATACGTTGGATTTGTTGTATATGTTAAACCTATATGACTAAAATATTCTGTTACTTTGACAGAAGCTTTGATCTTAAAATTTTATTTTAAATGGCAATTTTAGTGTATTGTACTAGAAAGGAGTTGTATGTGATGTGACAAACTTGTCATATACAATAGGTCTTTTTAACAATTGCTTGATAGCATTGACAAGATAAAATAAACTGTTTGGATGATATGGCTTGCCAATATGTGTGGAGTGGCAGGTTGTGGGTTTGACAGTGGTTTTCCCGCCACCCGTGTGTGTTGTCCTGACAGCTTCAGCTGTCTGTGTGAGACCTGATTATATGTTTTATTGGGCTGGGGACGAGTGATGTGTGGTCATCATGAAATTGTAATTTTGTATTTTTATAAATGTAATGTTTTTATATCTTTGATTTGTTATATATGTTTAAGCTATATGACCAAAATATTCTGTTACCTTTGATGGAAACTTTTATCTTAAATTTTAATATATGATGCTAGAGAGAAATTGTATTATGACGTAAACATACATTGTCTTATTTTATAAGTCTTCTTGACAATTACTTAAGAGTATTTGCAAGATAAATTGACACAATTCTGTATCTAAGGCTTTTGCCTACTATAGATGTAATGGAATAAGGAAGAAATAATAATAATAATAATATTCTGAAATAAATTTTAAAATCATGTATTAGTTCTATCATGTCCTTCTATCTGTCCACAAGCACCAGTGCCCAGACTAGCCAATGCATTTGGTTCACAGTAAGGTAAAAGTAAAGGTAAAGTTGTCCCTGTGCTTAACTACTTAAGCCTATGCCATGAAAGCATATGGGAGAGTAGATGTATAGATCCACATTTTCTTGACCTTGGCACTAGCTAGTGGTGAGTGGTCGGCTTCACGCTCCGGTTGGTTTACCCCAGAGAAAGAACCCCCAGTACCCATTGGATAGGAGGTTGGGTGGAACCCAGAGCTGGTCTGGAAAACTTGGAGAACAGAAAACTCTTGATCCTACCAGGACTTAAACTGCGACCTCTTGGTTGTCCAGCCTGTAGCCAGTTGCTATACCGACTGCACTATCCAGGCTCCTTTTTGGATCACATTAGAGGGAAAAAAGAGGTAAAGTTGTCCCTGTGCTTAACTAATTAAGCATTATGTCATGAAGGTGTATGGGGGAGTGGTTGTATAGATCCTTATTTTCTTGATCTCAGCACTACCTGGAGGTATGGTCAGCTTCATGCTCTGACCGCTTTATCCCCGGGAAAGAGCCCCCGGTACCCACTGGATAGGAAACTGGGTGGACCCAAGAGACGGTCTGGATGAAGTGGAAAACAGAAAATTCTTCACTCTACTAGAACTTGAAATTTGACCCGTCAGTTGTCCAGCCCATAGCCAGTCACTATACTGACTACACTATCCCAGCTCCTGGATCATAGTAGAGTTTCACTAAAGTTTCTCAGTTGATCTTGATTTTAATTTAGTTTGGTTCATTTAAAGGTCACCTTAATTAAGGGCATAATTTAACTTTTATATTGTGTTTCGAATCTTTTGGCAGACAGGGCTGCTCATGCAACTAATGTACACATGTCTGTGAGTTTCATCCACTTGAATCTGTTTTAAGGTTCAAGATACTTATGGCATAATTACATTTTGGGCCTGTCTTGCCAAGTATTAACACTACATAAACTATAGCATTTGCATAAGTCTCACTGATACCCAGGAACTCACTAATACCACATCACCAAATTAAGTATAGGAGACATCAAAAATGGTGTCCATTCTCTGGATTTTTTCCTATAATATAAGATTTCCACTTCATTTGAAATGCATTGCATATATCTAGCCAGTAAGTGAAATTTACCCATACTACATTCAATGTGCATTTTCAGATTTAAATTATTATAAATTTATAGGTCCAGAATTGACTACAGGTTTGTTCAGCATTTTTTCAAGCCAAAAAAATATAATTCTTGTAAATGTAACCATAAAAGCAGTCAGTTTCTTAGTCTTAAATAATAATACTAGAGTCATCAGCTAGTGCAAGTTTGGATTGAGAGTTTATTGTTGGGGCAAAGCACTGATGTATATGAGAGAAACTAGGACACCATGTATTAAACCTTGAAGGATCCATATAATATCACAGTCTCATTGTTATTCAATTCAATTTATTTCAAATTCAAAAATAGAATAGAATAGAATTTGAATCTAGAGATTTCATTCCTACTTATTTTTCTTTTATTGTGATATGATTTAAATCGCCTAGCCATACTTTAAATTCCATAAATTTTCGCTTTCCTTTATAATGACTCACGGTTTGCACAAGCAAATGCTTTAGCAAGAGTAAAAGCTATACCATCAACATATTTTTTTATTGCAGGCTTGTAGGATTTTATCTATTAATTTGTATAAGGAATTCGTGGACTTCAGATTAAATAAGTCGTTCTTCTAAACCAACATAATAAAGCAGTTCATAATAAAAATGATAAACCAGTACCTTTCATATAAATATAACATTCAACGAGCACCTTACGTGTTTGAATTTCCCACTGGCGTATGAATACGGGACAGTACCGAAGTTTTGAGAACATAATCTAGTATATTGATGACGTAATGATATACGTATCTGAACATTTGACCAGTGTTAGCGTGCTTATGTTTATAAAGATGCGAACAACTTAAGCACCGATGTGTGTGAACAGCGGTCAAACTTCTCAAACCGCCAGCTTTCCTATACAGCCTTGATCTTGTAAACTGTAGGATTTTACACGACCATAACCCTCGAGGATTGCAATGGAATTCCTTATTTACCATTCTGTGTTCCGTCGCATGTTTGAACATTTCAATACACTGTTTCAGAAGGTCAGGACCCGGTGTTCCTGCAGAAAGGTTTGTAACATCTGACTTGTATACATTGAGCACTGGCTCACCATCAAACAGGTGGTACAGATGTGGATCTTCTATCCTGTGTGCGTCTGCCATTATTCTTTGGATTGTTAGCGGGGCTATCCAAGGAACGAAATAGTCCGACTCGAACAATTATTATACTGGCCCTATTGTCATCTCTCACACTACTCTCAAATAAGACTGCTAGAACACATAGAACTAGCCTTTTCTAAACCCTGCGTGGTATGATAAGTTCATTAGGGATAAATGCATTTGCTGTAGTACCTGTAAACCGAAGAAGAAGAACGGGTACTTATAGTAAGCTACCGAAGCCGGAATTGGAACCTGGAAAAACTTCGCTCGTCATATAGATGGCAATCAAACCAACATTCCACAACCGCTAGAGACCACTGTGCCTACCACTGTGGAGACGGTGGAGAGCGTGGAGAGCAACTTGTGACCCTTGTGACGGCTTGTGACCGCTTGTGACTGGGCAAAACAGTAATCGCTGCAAACAACGAACTCAGCAGCTCAGCAGGCCAGGCCAATAAGATACCGTGGTATCGGTGGATACATAGTAATATACAAGAAATAGGAATAATTAAGATCTCTGCTGTTAATAATAAAAAGAATAAGATCAGGGAGCATAAAATAATAGTTTGAAGGTAAGTAACCGTTGTTACTTGCACGAGAAATTATTTAAACTTCAATAGTCTTCCAGATAATGGCGTGTCCACCCACACCATCCAAAATGATCCAAAGTTACAGGTCAGTTTTAGAGGCCTCCGTAGTCTAGAGGTAACGTTCCCGGAGGTCGTCGAATTTTAAAGGGCGGAAAAATTCAGGGAACAAGTCCTCCGGGAGGGACTTTAAGCCGTGGGTCCTGTGTCGTAGCTTTACGGCACGTAAAAGAACATCATATCTCCAAAGGAGGTCACTGAGCCAAATTACGGACGTTTTCCGCCCAATAGCAGTCTCTGATACCTCTGGTAGATGGGGGATGCATTATAGATACCTCTCAGCTAGTAGAGCCGGTCTCGCTGGCTGGGCGGGACTGATGGTAAGCACCAGTACAGGTAGGATATAGAGACTGGTAGAAATCATAGAGGGAAGCACAATGGACCAATACAGGTCTAAGTGCATGGGGAAACCCACCCTCGCCAATAACTAACTAACTAACCACAGGTCAGTTTTGCTACAGCAGAGATGAATGTTATGCCGTTTCGTAGTGATCGCGTTATATTAGTGTGTAGAATGAGGACCAATGGGAAACTCTAACCCAAGACAAATTTTAACAGCTTGCTTTGCACTTTAATGTGGTTAGAGTAGTTCCGTGTAAGGGAGGTGGTCGAGGGCGTTGAGAGTCCGCTTAGAGATTTATACTCAATGTTGACAGGAGTTTGATGGCATCGCAGTGGAGCATTGCAGTTCATGATGATGATGATGATGATGAATTTAGCCAGCTGGAACAAGGAGGTCCTGTCTGGACACAGTTTTGGGTGAGTATTTTTTCAAATTGAAAATCTTGAATTGGTGTTTCGGTTGGGTAATGCACTCGCATGAAGTGGATTAAATTGATGAGATGTGCAGTGTATAGTAAGGAATGCTGCCGATGCTGGCAAATGTATTGTGCTTGAGAACTGAGTATTTTTTACATATTTTTTATTCTTTTCTGAAAAAAAAATTATCCATGGCAAAGGGCGCTGTTTGGCGTGAAGTGAGCAAGGAGCATACAGGAATTTCTCACATACCCCTTGCATGTCACCTGTGAGAAGTTCAACTTCTTATCAAGGAAGGAGCACCTGAGATCCCTTCCCCTTACATGGCCAGTCTGCACCAACCAGGATGTGGCCATGTGGCGAAGGTGAGTCGCATGTGAAGGAACATTATCAAGTCGGAGTTTGGAAACCGACAGTGAGAGGAACGTCAACATGATGCATATTGTAGGAGAACTGTGATTATTGGCAGCCCTGGAGGTGCATCAATGGAGGAACTGCTATCTCAGCTGGCGGAGGATGTGATTGGGTCTGTACTTAACAAGTAGGTTCCAGGAAGGGCCCCCCACCCTTCTGCATTCTATCTACTGGGGTGACTTGTCACCAGGTGCTAGGGGTGAGGAGTTCATGAAGCAAAGGTGTGCGTCATCTCTGAAGTATTGAAGATTTATATTGTGATCTTCTGGGTCAGTGACACTGTAACTTGATGGGTGTGTGTCAGCCTGGAAGCTGAAGGCAGTTACATTACTCTGAAATGCTTGGTATTCTCCTGTAGGACTACATAGTACCCCAACTCACAAGATCACAATATGGTGTTTGTAAGGCCGCGCCATAGCTCAAGCGGTTAGTCCCTGACTTCCCACTGTGGCAGCCTGGGTTCAAACCCGGATCTGGTCAAGTTGGATTTGTGGTGGACAAAGTGGCATTGGGGTAGGTTTTCTCCAAGTACTGCAGTTTCCCCTGCCAGTCTTCATTCCACCAATTTCTCCATCATCATCATCATCATCATCATCATCATCATCATCATCATTGTGTTTCTGAGTATAATATGTTCATGAAGGGAGTTGATAGAGCCGATCAGTACTTGGCATATTATTCTCTTCCTAGGAAAATAGTAAAGTGGACAAAGAAAGTTGCCTCATGGCTTATAAAGTGTGCCATTTTCAATTCATTTTTGGTTTACAAAAATCTAAACCCTGATTCAAAATTGAAATACAAAGCAATTCTGATGAATGTGGCAAAGGCCTGGGCTACAGACCAGATGGTGGCGGCAGAACCAGAGTCAGACATACACTTAGTGCAGCCGGGCCCATAACACCCACCCCACGCAGGCCTCATGTGGACACCCCTGAGCGACTCTCGGGTGATATGCGGAAACATACCCTCATGAAAATTGTGAAGAGTGAACATTTCAAGGGGAAGCAGCCTTCTAGGCAATGCCATGTTTGCGCAATTCACAAGAAAAGGAGTAGGACTGCCTACATTTGCAAGTTTTGTATAATGCCACTTTACAGAGGGGAATGTTTCAAGAAATATCACACCCTCAAGCACTTCTAGAAGCATTGGTAAGTGTTCTCAAAAAATTTTAGTTCATAAAATTAATTAGGAGATTTTATATTAATTTTTAAAGTGAACAGTGCACAAGTTAGGGTAGTAGGTTTAAAATGCCGGTCCCCAGGGTCTGCAAAGTGTTAAAGGCAGTATATTTATTTCCTTGAAGAGATCTCTACATGATTCCCTGTAACCATTTTGGCTGCTATATATTGTGACATTGGCAAGAAAAGTTACCATGTCCTGGACCATGAATGGGTACTTTTCTTTGTATGAACTAAACAGTTCAAATGAAAAACAAAGCCTCCCTTAATAGTTAAAAAAACAGGGCATTTATTGAAAAAATATTCTGAGCTAGAAACCCAAGGGTTTCATAATGAAATGCATGAGTGTCATACATATGTATGTATCTACAGTAATTAACCTATTAATGATGTTCTGTCAAGTTCGGTACAGTCACATAATCCAAACGTTCCTTGAAATGCAGTTGAAAGTACCTCCTCGGCCAGAACATAAATGTATATCTCTAGTTGCATAAATAAATACATGTAACAGGGATATTTTAAATGTAATTATCACATAGGAGAATATGACTTCAAGTTTGAAATGTATTGGTATGATATCATTATAACATTGTTGGTTATTCTTTGTACCAGTCTTTAGTTTCACCTTTTATAGTACTAGATTCCCAGTAAAATATCTTTATGGGGTGCAGAAAACATAAGCTTACAGAAGAAATGGCCTGTGCAGACAGTAAGGTCATCAGTATAGTGTTCCTGTTGATAATTCTACATAGGTTACACAATTTAATACCAAATTTCAAAAAAGCAAAATTGTATTAGTGTCTATAAATCATGGCGAGCATGGTAGTGATGCACAGTCAAAGATATTGTACTTTAGAGAAGTTATATCAGTTCACTGTAGAATTAAAATTCTAGTGAGAAAGTTAGGTAATGAATTTTCTTTAGATTTTTGTATGATAAATATTTAATATTTATTTAATGTATTTACAGCATAAACAAGAACAGTTATGAAGAGTTAATTGTGGACATGATCAAGAGAGGTCTTGTTTTGAATCACAGCAAATCACCATGTGAGGAGAACTTCATATCAGATAGAAAGGTGAATATACTTACTGCAATATTTACAACAATATTTACTGAATCAGTTTTGTATTTTTTACCTAATATATTTACTCATTATTGTGTTTTATTTATTTTAAAAATCGTTAAACTACAATGGCCCATACTCTCTGATATTTTCACCAGTTACGAAATACATTTGCTCACATGGTGATGTCTGTGTTATGACACTGTGTTTTCTTGTAATGTTGGTGGTTACCAATGATTTGGAGGAAGAGGGTTCATCTTGAATATTCAACCCTGAGGATGGAAGGATCATGTTTCGCCGAAACACTGGGACCATCCTTACAGATTACACTGTGGTGTAACACAGATATCACAAAATGAATCTCCATTGCTGTGAAAACCTCAAACTGTACAAATACATATGTCTGTTTCTCATTACGACGTGTTCATTATTTTAAGGCCAATTGAATATTTAATAAGATGTAAGTTATATACCTGTATGTGTCTGTATGTTATCTTCTTTGTTTCAGGGTGAAATCATAATGTTCATAAAAATGGAAGGACCAAAAACTTTGTAACGTGGCTGCAAGTAGCCAAGGTAATGGTTCAGACATGCTGTGCTGTTGGTAGAGACAGCTAACCCTCCTCTCTCTCCCTTCTGCTGCCAAACACGTCCTCCTCTTCCTCCTTCCTTGTCACCCTACCTCCTCCACCCCATATTTCCTCCTCATTCACTTCCGACAGCTTCGCAACTTTCTTTGCAAATAATTTTGCAGTATGAAAGTCTGTGTTGACCCCCATCAATTCTCCATGCCTTGCATAGTCTTTTGAGTGGATTGTAGCCATATTTTATTAATTGATGAGCAGAATGTTAACACTGTTTTTGTAATGATGGAACTGATACATAACTCAAGTTCTGGGGAAGATCAGCATTTTCATTTTATGAGCTGATTGTCCTTGACATTTGTTATTGTGCTTGAATAGTCTTCTTCCATTTTGTTTCCGGTTCTTACTAGAACCAATATTTGGTCCCCGCTAATAATTTAATCTAGATAATTGCATTTTATAAAAGCTGTACTGACATCAGAGTTTGTGAAACTGAAAATTACAAATTTGGCTATGGATGTCGTGGTGTTTTGCCTGTAGTAGCTGAAATGTAGAGGACAGAATTATATAATAATTGACTGGGAATTTTGGTTGAACAGGAGTTTGGAAATGGAAAATAAGCATAAGTTCTTTCATGAAGTTTTTGATATATAAGTAGTGCAGTATTGCATGGCTTGTATTTGTAAGGGAATGAAAATTAATTTCCCATTTTTAAGGAGCTGAAGTCTTTACTTTTATGTATTTTTACAGTGTTCTAATATGGAGATATCTTTGAGCAAAATTTACTTAGTGTATGGGTATTATTAGTACCTTTTCTTTAGGCCAGTATGTATACCAGCAAATACTTGATCTGTATTGACAAGCTTGTCAAAAGTCTCACACATTTATCATTGCACTGTATTTTTCAGTCTTGAGGCAAACACCGAACTTGAGAGTACCAGCAAACATGTTTGTTTGTTTGTGTGTGTGTGTGTGTGTGTGTGTGGGGGGGGGNTGCTAAGTATTATCATGCAGGAATGTTGTGTAACCATAAATTTTTTGTGTCATTGCGAGCCACATAGAAGTTTTACATTTTGTTGAAATTAAAAGTGGTTCAAGTTTGAAACCATACATACAGATTCGCATGCAAATCAGAATCTGTTTTTTAATGCTATTCATGTAATTGTTTCAGGCCTGCGACTCACCAGCACAAGACTTCAAGTGACTCGTCTGCCCTAAGAGGAAGGAGTTGTTGCTGTCCTATCATCCATGCATGGCTCTTTCAGATAGCCTTTTCTCTTGTGGCTATGCCACCAGAATCTCAGCATGTTAAGACTGAAGTGAAAATCTGTGCATGTCAAAAATTAAATGAAAATCTGGGCATGTCAGGACTGAAGTGAAAATCTGGACATGTCAGGACTGAAGTGAAAATCTGTGCATGTCAAGACTGAAGTGAAATTCTATGCATGTCAAGACAAGTGAAAATCTGGGCATGTCAGGACTGAAGTGAAATTCTGTGCATGTCAGGACTGAAGTGAAAATTTGGGCATGTCAAGACTGAAGTGAAAATCTGTGCATGTTAAGACTGAAGTGAAAATATGTGCATGTCAAGACTGAAGTGAAAATCTATGCATGTCAAGACTGAAGTGAAAATCTATGCATGTCAAGACTGAAGTGAAAATCTATGCATATCAAGACCGAAGCATGACAGGAAGATACTATTACAGTATTACAGGAAGAAACGTCAGTTTGATGTGTGTGACCATGTCAGTCTGATATTTATTTGTCCAGCAGACTTCCTCTCTTGCTTTACTATGCTTGCATGCAGGAGGGTAACACATATGCGTGATATCATCTGACTTTGTGTCTTGCTTTGATGCCGTCAGTGTTCAACATTGGTTACTATTCACTTGCTTTTCTTTATTGACACTACATATTTCGGCCCAACCAGCCATCTTCAGGTGTACAGGTTAGATTGCAAAATCTGCTGCTCACTGTAATGCTGTTTTGTTTCTGTTATGTAGAGGACTCAGATTGCAACTGGTTATGTGGGTTAGTCATCTGTTTTTTTATTTAGGTGTCCTTGAGTTGCTGGTGTTTGCTTCATGGTTTTGTTTGACTGTGGCTGTCTTGAATGTTCTTGCTGGGGTGGGAATTTGTTGTGTTGATGGCCAACCACAGCACAACAAATATGCTCAGCTCAAGGACACCTAAACAAAAAACAGATGGTTAACCCACATAACCAGATGCAATCCGAGGCCTCTGCATAACAGAAACAGAACAGCATTACAGTGAGTAGCAGCTTCCTTGATCACAACAACCTGTACACCTTAAGATGGTCGGTTAGGCCGAAACATGTAGTGACGACAAACTGTGAGAGAATGTTAACCGACATTGCACACAGATGGCATCAAAGCAAAATGCAATGTCAGATCTAAGCAGTGCAACAGGATGCTGCAAAGTAATATTATGCCTGGTATCAGTTTCTATGTAAAATTTATTCATGGTCTTCTGGCTTATGACATGGTTACCAAAGTTTTCTGCTGGTCTGTTGAAGCCAGGGGCAGTATGTCCTCTGGTAACCATCTTCCAGGCAACACAGTGTCATAACTTAGGAGACCAGAATAAGATTTTTCACCATTGTGAAAGATTAAAATCTGATACTGTGTGAAATTGTTTGTATATTCAAATCTGGTGGATACTGTAAGGAAGTAATCACTAAACCATAGTAGTTCTGTTTTTCCTTATATAGGAAAGAACTTGGGAGGTAAAGCTATCCCTATACCAGGCCATGGAGGCCCCTAGTGTTGTGAGACGTCAAGGCTCCCACATAGGCAATCAGCTCAAATGTCGGGAAGGATTTAAGACGAAAGACCTGAACAAAAATGTTAATCGAGGTGATGTCTCCATTTATGTAAAAAATGTAGGCTTAATTTCTCTAAAGCATCAGTATAAGTATATGGAATATGAGGGAAAGAACGATAAAAACAGACGGATGCAAACTTCTGCTGGATGTGCTCAAGCTTATTGGCATCAGTCGAGGTGATGGAGTTCCAAACTACCAAGGCATATTCCAACTTGGACCTGACTAAAGTAAAGTATAGTACATACAGACACTCCAGGGCAGAGATTCTATAGGTAATGGAGCGAATAAGGCCTAAAAGCTTTATGCATTCAGAAAATATGTAATTAATATGTGTGTGAAAATGTAGCTTTGAATCAAAGGAAGCACCCAGGTCATTAATACTAGCATGACCAAGCTGATATTCGTAGCTCAGAAAATTTAGCATTTTCTGTGACAGAGCTGTGTCTGTATTCCCATTGTATGTTGCAGTTCTTGCAGGCAACACACATATTGATGGAGTGTGATGTGGGAGTTCCATAATGAAACCTGTCTAAAGTATTATATCAGTTTCTGCTTTCGTTGGTCTAGATCACTTTCACGTATGTCTTACAGAAGTGTTAGAAGTTACAAACGTTCGGTAAAGTTTTTGTGTATATGTAAAATGGACTCTGTATGCTTGCACCTTACCTCTCTTTTGCTAGTTTTTATCGAATGAAGTACAGCCAATGATATCTCTTTCTAAAAACTCATCCTGTAAACTGCGGCTCTCATATCTGCATACAGTATCAGCATGTGACAGTTTGGATTAATCAACAGTGGGCTTTCCTAAACTTGGAAAACTGTTGTTGTTTTAGATGTGAGGCCATGTAGACCGGTAGAATGTTACCGCCATTTTGGAGGAACATGTAAAGTGATAAGACCTTGAAGATGGAGCTTCACATTCCTCAGAGATGTTGGTAAAATTCTACCAGACTACATGGTGTCACATCCCTGAAGACTTTTTCACTTAGAGAGTGTACGTTGTAATTGCACATACAGGGAATACACAGTCATGAGTAGATAGCAGTTGGTTTTGATTTGACATGGGAGTTAGGTGTAGGAATTGAGAACTGAGAGTTGCATGTTCTGCGTTTGTCGTACTTCTGAATTGCATGGCGACAGTGAGGAGGCTATGGCTGGTACTTGGAATGAAGAGTACAGCATTCTGAGTTGTAGCAGCGTGTAGTTCGGAGAGAGCCCCGCGTTTTGGAGGTGACATGTTTCCTAAACATTGGGCCATCTCCAAACTACACATTGCCACAATGCAGGACCCTAAACTCCTTATAGACATTGCCATGAAAACATCAAATCAAACATGGTACTCAGAATGTCTGTGTAAGATAAGTAAGTTGCTGTCTGATTGCAGAGGTAATTGTAAATATAAATTGGATAGGAACTGCTGCAACTTTGGGGGTTGGTGGGGAGATGTTAAGGCATTTGTCTGATTGGTACAGTTAGAAGTTTCTTGGCAGCTAATTCCTCAATAATCTGACAAGCCATAGTGGACAGTTTAGGCATCGTATTGATGTAGAATTCTGTAATACAAGTGTATGAAAGTATGACTGCCATAACTTGCCTGAAGTAAAGGCAGATGGGTTGCAGCATAGTGAAAGCAATATGAATCCCTTCATCCTTCAATCCATAGAATGTTTGACAGTTTAGGACTTTTGCAAGGTATTTTACATTCATTGTATCCAAAAATTATATACACTGAAGCAAATATAAACATTCTCATGTATGTGAGGCTATTTGCATCCTTCTGGATGGGATATTTGTAATTTATTTTAATAAATACTCTTCAGAGCTGATTATGTCTTTTCTTCATGTTTTAGGAAAACCTGTTACGTGTACACCCTAGGGATGTCTGTACAGATACAGATGACACATGAAAGGGAAAATAAGAATTTTATGCACATTGTCAAGGGTTTTATTTGATAGATCCATACAGGTCAGTCGACTCCTCTGATGCAGGAGAGATTGATCCGCTACAAGCCTTGCGTTGTCACGGTAAATGCAGATCAATATGGGCAGAACATTAATGTCCTGAACAGAGTTTGAGGTCACCTGAGACTGTATGCATCTGAGACAATGTAGCCAACTAGTTCAGCCTTCATCCTTGTCGATACATATTTCTGCTTTGCAGCATGCTGTCAGGAATGACTGGTACTGAATGACCCCAGCTGAGTGCTGATAGCTTTAATACAACAAATAAAGTAGTCCCTGTGCGTACTGCAGCACTACACTCAGAATATGTACAGGGTGCAAATAAAATGAAGTATATGAGAACATACAAAACAACTTTACCAGAAGAGTCACATTGTACATACAGTAAACAAAGAATTTTAAAATATTTAAGAATTTTATTGTGTTAGATGAATGACATTAAAAAAATAATTGGATTGGGAGTAAATTCTGGAAATCCTTGTCCTTTATTAAAACCTGTCTTGAATATTTCAGAACACCAAAACATTAAAATTCAGTAGCGTGTTGATTGTGTTTATGGAGGTAAGTAAATATACTTTTACTTTGACGCATAAAAAGCTGCAGTCGCATTCCCTGTGGACATGAACATGGAACCTTCAGAAGGTAAGTTCGCTGGCCCATCCCTGAGACCCACACATCTGCTGGTTGAATTTGCCTATAAAGTTTCATGTGCAGTGAATTTACAAATATCCTCAGAGCCTGATTCTTTGAAGTCCACTTCATGATCAGAATAAATCACAAGACCAATCGTGTTACACAAATTAATATGAATGGTTTGTATAAAGCTCAAGACTGGATGTACCTAACTGTTAACCGGTACTGCTCACAGCAGTCATTACAAGAATTGGAACGATGATTCAGGATGACGAGCGTTACCTCATTGGTAAGGCTTGTATGCACGAGAACATGGGTTCAAGTCCATGTGGAATGGGAATAGAATAAAGTAACCAATCATCATGAAGTGTTGGAGCCAAGTTAATATGCATGAAATTAATACTTAATGTACAATTTGCAGGTACAGTAGGAAATGCAAACAGAACCCTGTACTTTTTGTTCCAGTAACCTTCAACAACCTTCAAGAGCACAGCACTGCCGCAGCCCCAAGCTTTCAGCCTGGGATTTGATAGTTTGGCTGCAGATGTAGCTGTATTTCCGAAGAAGTGGATGCAGTGGCCAATTAGCATCAATGGTCAGAGCCAAGTTAATGTACATGAATGTAGTGCTAATTGCAAGAAATGTAAACAAACACCTGAAGTGTCTAAACTTGTAACCTCAAAAATACCTTCAAGAGTACATTTATAGCTACAGGATTACTGAGGAGTGTTGCAAATGAATGTTTATGGGTTAGACAGGATATGAGGACAAACTCTGTTTCCTTTATTCACCATCTGTGCAAGCCAAGTGGTCAGTCCTCGTTCAGTAAACTCTTTTAATTTATGCTGAAATGTCTATTCTGGGGAAGATCATT